ACCAGCTCCCCAGTGGGGACCACCTGAGAGGCAACCACACACTGATGTTTCTCTCCCTCTCTTTCTTCTTCCCTTCCCCTCTCTCTAAAAATAAATAAAAATAAAATCTTTTAAAAAAACTAAAAATAAATCAATTGCCTAATATCTTATTGCTTTTAAATGAAGAGCTGTGATGTTTAGAGTTCAGGTTCACGGCCTTTTCACTAAATACAGGATAAAGATTCAAGTCCCCTCTATCTTGCACCTAGAGCAAGTCCATGGATTTTCTCTTGAGAGGAGAGAGCCAGATCTTACCCAGAAAGCAGCTATTGAGGTTTGGGTCCTGCTGCCCTTTTCTCGGCATTTCCAGTGGGAGGTAATTCCATGCAGTGAAACAGCACTGCTCAAATGTGCTTTTCCATTATTCTTGCCATTATTACTATTCACTGGTAGTTAGAGAAACAAGTTAAGGATGCTTAAGCGGGATCTCACATCCTGACACTATCAGTCCCCAGATTAAATTGTTAGCTTTGGGGCTGAAGAGAGGCCAGTCCTGAGTTGCTGTGAGGACTGGAGTCTGGCATTAAGGGGTGCTCAAAGTAGAGGCTGTTGTGTTGTTGTTATGTTGTGTTGTTGTGGTGGTGTTGCTGTTGTTGTTACTGTGTTATAATTGTTGTTAGCTTAAGATTGTGGGCAAAGCACTTAGTTTGTCAGGGTCTGAAAGCAGGTCCATGAGGCAAAGTTGCCAGAGGATGAAAACTAATGCTGGAATGCACCCCCCTCCACCCCACTTCCCCCCACCTGCCATTTTTTACAGGCTGGGTGGCACTGGCTGGTGCCTCCCGCTTAGTTTCTCTTGACTTCTTGGCAATCTCCTCCAAAATTAGATCTAGTTATTATTTACTCTGAAGATGAAAGAATGGAGCAGCCACCTGTTCATTCTTTGAGGACTCTCTCTGTATCTTCTATGAGGGCTCTAGCTTTTCCCTTTAAAGGCCTGCCACCTCCTCACCAGCTCTGGGTTCTGCCATTGGGGTGGGGGTGGGGGGGCAGGGGGAGGGAAGCAAGCAGCAGAGCAGAGTGGCCAAAACTTGATCTTGAAACAGAATATATCTGGGTTCGAATCCTTGTTTCCACACTCACTGTGGAGCATGGAAAACAAGATAATTTTCTTTATCTTGTTAAGATTTTTCAGAGATTCAATTAAATAGTATATAGAAAATATACTATAGCACACTAGAAGCCCAATATATGTAAGCTATCATTATTATCAACAATGTCCAACAATGTCATTGCCAAATCCTACATCCTTCTCATGTCCCATTACCAGGATGATTCTGACACATCTGACTTTGAGGACCATTCCTCTACTGAGACCCTCTCTCCATTAGTCTTACCAATTCTCCATCCCCTGGACGTTATCATGATTTTTTGTCTTCCCTTTCCTTGCTGGTCTTTTTGTACCCTTCATCAGTATGGCCATTTTAATGAAGCAATCTTGATAATATCTTTTTTTACCAAACGGCTCTAGAAGAAGCCAAAGTCCATAAGATAAAAGTCTGGTCTTTTATCCAGATTTGGAATGAAGTGATGAGAGAAGTGTGAGAGCATTATACACCCTTCAGCTGAGCAGTGTTACAGCAAAGGGCGGTTGTATGTGATCAGGAGAAGGGCTTTGCCCTTTTTACAAATCAGTGAATGAGTAAATGAACCAGGAGTGGGAGCTTCCAGTTCAAGATTATAAAGACAAAATTTTGCACCCCTCACACTTCTGCTGCCTTGATATTTAGCCAGCAACCAGAGTGACATTGACCACAAAAGGAAGCTACAAAAATCACAGGGTCCTGGTACAAACTCGAGACTTAGGATAACTATTTGCAACTTGAATTTTCCCCAGGTTTCACCAGCCTACGGTAGAAATGAAGTCACCTTGACCACTGTAGCTAAAATGTTACTGCAGGTGCTGAGTACCTCCAGTCTTCTGTAAGGTCGCGCCCACAGTTTAACTGGGAGCCCTGAGAGGACACCCCACATGGGGCCATGAAAAAGTGCACTTCTGCTCGGTGAAGTCTGTGCTTTATCACGTGTCCTCTGGGAATCACTTTGCTGTCCTACCATCCACTGACCTCCAGGACATGAAGAACATCAGTCCTCTTCACTGTTCTCTAGGCATCACTATCAATACATCAATGGCCCTTCAGTACCAGGTCAGGGCTGGCTTTCAGTGTGAGAAGACTCTCATCCCTCCAGGACTTAGAATCAGGATGGTCACCTAGTCCCAAAGCAGCAGTGTGTGTATGACCCAAGCCTCAAGGCACACTGCTCTAACGTAGTGCCATCCACCTCTGCCAGCAGCCCTCCCCCCACAGACTCAGGCAAAGCAGCGCCCTGTCCGTTGCCACTCCTATTCCCAGAGACGAGCTGTGAACCTGTGTCCTGATCACAGACCTTTCACCTTCATGCACACCAATGAAGCCCACGTGCACAGACCACCATGACTCTCAGTTTAAGATCCTCTCGATTCAACAAAGACAAAACCCTTGTGTAATTTGAAATCCCACCGGTTTCTAGAAATATCCAGTGTCTTTCTCTAGTCAGTGGATGGAGGTCACCGGGAGTAACTAATGCCAAGGCTACTTTAAAACTCAGGGGGCTACAAGATCAGTCTCCTTTCCCCACCTCAAGAACAAACACTGTTCCAAGGGCCAAGGAAACAAGACAAACACAACATGGTCCCTGCCTCAGTGCAGCTCACAGCCCAGCAGAAGGTCGTACAGCTTCATCATTAATTACTTAGGAGAGGTTGCCATGAGAACACGATTTGGGAATTTAAATCAGACTAATGGGGTCAAGGAAAGAGATTTCAGGAGTAATAAATGTTTGGAGATCTGTTTTGAAGAATAAGACATATTACCAAGATAACAAAAAAGAAATGAAATGGAAAGGGATTTATGTGAAAGAAACACAGGAGCAAAGTCTTGATCAATATTGAACTACAGGTAATGCCACAATTTCCTAAGAAAGGTAGCTATTCTTTATCAGACCAAGGATTTCTGCTACAAGGCGGGGGGGGGGGGTTGTGAGGAGAAAAGACATACTAGCTTTTTAAAAATTTCCTTCAGGGGGACATTTAAATTTATTGGCTATTGTTTATCAGAGCTAAGCACTTACTAAAACAAAGGGTGGCATCTCACAGGTGCTCTTGAGTTCTTAAAGGAAATCAAATCCAAGGATGAAAAATGTCTTGTTGTCAAGACACGCTTGTCCACTAAGACTGTAGTTGCTCCGATTCCCTGGGGGCTTCACTTCCTCGGGAAAATCCTTCTCTGGCCTCACATTAGATTAGGTTTCACATCTGCACATGCTCATTAGAAGCCTTTACACTTCACTGTCACAGTTCATGAGAAATGTCTGTGTGTGTGCCTGTGCGTGCGTGATTTAATTAGTCACTGTCTCCCTCACGAGGCTCCAAGTCCCAAGAGAACGGATTTAATCTACGTTTTCTAGCACAATGCCTGGCACAGGAGAGATGCTTGATAAGGATGGGTTGAGCCTGCTGCTCCTGTCATTGTGTGCTCTGTACCACTTGTGCCTTTGGGTGTTAGAATGTGGTCTCTGTTGAATGATAAGGAATTGGGTTTTGAGGAGGAAAAAGCCATGGCCATTGGGTTAGCCCTTCCAGCCTGGTCAAATGAGAGGGTCCAGGGCACTATGGTACTCAGGGCACTACAGTATTCAGGGCACTCTGAGAGCCCAATGTCCAGAACGAAAGAGGCTGTCGATCAGAACAGGAGCTATCAGTTGATGTCCAGGGAGGAAAAAGCAGTAGGCTCTTTCCAAAGGACATGAGCTACGGCAAACACACAGGACCAGATACATAATTCACAGGGTCCAGTGCAAAATGAAAATGCAGGGCCCCTTGTGGAAAAATTATTTGAAGTTTCAAGACAGCAAAAGAAGAGCACTAAGCCAAGTGTCTCACGTCACAGGTTGCATACCCGTGAGGCTGGTCTTGCAAACATTTACTGTTAATAAAGAACATATGAACGTAAGTTTACAATCATCTGTTAGAAAATAAAGGAGGGAGTTTTGTGTTAATTTTTTTAAGTCTTTTAAATATCCAGGTGTATTTCCTTTCCCTAGGTAGAGGTTGTATCTTAAAAAAATATTGGATCTTTCTGCCCTTCACACGACGGGGCCATGTCTACGTTTCCAAGAGATCTACTGAGGCAGAACGGCTTGTCTCTCTCTCTGAACAGTCCTGGACTCGCAGATGTACTGCAACACCCAGTTGCCCCACTACTATGAAGATCTGGCCTAGATTTGAAGCTGGACAGTCGGAAAAGCATGGATTTTAAAGTCAAAACGGGTTCCAATTCCAGCCCCACCATTTACAGTTCAGTGACTTGAAGCAAATTATTTGGCCTCCCTAAACCCTCAGTTGTCCCTTGTGTAAAATGGAAGTGGCAATACCTATAGCCCAATAGTGTGGTCTTGGGGATTCGACAAGATGAAAAGCATTCAGGGGGTAAGCATGGAAATGCACAGCAAAGTGAGGACACAAGCTCATTGCATTGTCTCTCTGCTTTAGTCCAAAGCTGAATGGGGGAACCCCAGCTCTGATTCCTGATCTTCGTCACTGAGCCCTATAAATAACTTAGCTAAGTCCCTGCCTCCCATGGAGCCAAAGGAGGGAGCTGTTGCAGGTGGTTCCTCCTGGCTGAATCATGCACGGGTCTTCTGTTCACTTGGGGTTTGGTCTGAATTTTCACTACTCCTTCTAAAGATTCACCCCGACCTGGTGCGGTGCAGTGTGCGCCCAGCCCGCAGCATTGGGTCTCTCCGGAGCGGCCTCTGCCTGCCCTCGCCACCCTGGCATTGGCCGCGCAGCCCCGCCCGGAGCCGCCTCCCCGCCTCCCGCTTCTCCGGGGCAAGCAAGCCGGAGCCTGAGCCCGCTCACCCGCTGCCGGGTGGCAGTCACGACTGTTCGTTCGATTGCCGGCGTGCGCGGCGGGGCGGGGCGCGCTCTCCTTTACCCGCGGGAGTTCGGGCGCTGGGCAGGGCCCAGTTGGGGGCGAGGGCAGCGGAGAGCTGTCGGTGCCTCAGTGAGGATGGGAGTCCCTAGGACCCGCAGCTGAGCGACCCAGCTCACAGCGGAGAGGACGCACCGGAGGAAGGTGAGCCTGGCTGTTCCTCTGGGAGCCCAACACCATTCCCGCGCCGCCACAATGATCCCTCCAAGCGGCGCCCGCGAGGACGGCGTGGACGGGCTGCCCAAGGAGGCAGCGAGCGCAGAGCAGCCGCCCTCTCCGGCGTCCACCAGCTCCCAGGAATCCAAGGTACCGCGCACACTTGCCCCAAGAGAACCCCAAACTCTCCTTTCTTTCTCTCTCTGTCCACCTTTGTTCCCTCTGAACTGGCGCTGGCATGGGAGGCTGAGATGTGCCCCTAAGCCCACCAGGGTTAGAGAACCGTTCCTCCCTTGCCACTTGAATGTCCGGCTTGACTCTGCTAACGGTGCTGGACCACGTCCCTGTGGATGGACCCAGCCTTCTCTCCCCCACACACCCAAGGCTTCGCTGGGCTTCCACCCCGCGAGCACACGCAATTCACCTGGACTCTGGGTTCAGAAATCGATCGATTTCTTGGGTGGTGATAGCTTGGTTGTTCTTTCCCTGTTTGTGCCCAGACATGAATTGGGCATTTATGAGCCGGAAAAAAAGTGGTCTGTGTCCCAAGGGTCTCATAGATCCTTTGCTTGGCAGGGCTCATCCCTAACTTCAGATACCGCTTATTTTAGAAAAACTAGGGGAATTTAGATGGGGAATACGGCGATCGCGGGAAAGTGGATGCCCCTCTGGTGGAAGTTAATACTCCAAGAACTTTCATTTGCTTCAATGGGAGTTACACTAACACATGCACAAAACCGATCCCTCAGCACCTCGCCTGTCAGTTACTCTGAAGCTCTTGTGGGTGCCAGGCACATGCTTGGAAAGCTTGGAAGAGGATCAAGTAAAATGCCGCTGCTGGCAGTGGGATGCCTTTTGGAGTGAAAACTGTAAGGTGGAGTTTGTACTTTTACAGCTTTTTTAACAAAAGTACTAGGTTCCTGGCTGTTTATGCAGATCTCCCAGTGAGTTCCCCCAGCATCTTTTGCATAAGAGTGAAGGAACGAGGGGTGCCAGTTTGGAGAGCAGGTCAGATGGAGCAAAGAAAAGTCCCCTCTCTCCCCCACACGCCCCTGGAAGCCACTGACCCATCAGCAGGAGCAAAATCAAAGATCTGGGCCTTGCGGTTTCAGAGCCACTAAGCATTGTGTACATCCCAGCCTCCAGAAGTTAGATGGTTATCCAAGGCAGAGAGTTTTGCATTATTTTAATTTTAGTTTAATTGTTTCTGATAAATGTTTGACCTAGGGCACGTGTGTCCACTAAAACTCAGTTGGAAACAGGGGCCAAAGCTTCACTTTCCAGTCCTTGTGAGGCATGGGTGAGGTGACCCAAAGCCCACCCTGGTGCAGTCTCAGGAATCAATGTTGCCCCTTTTCCACCTGTCTCACCACAGACGGTACCCCCAATGCAGCCTCACAGCCTGCACACACAGACCACCTTCCCTCCCACCAAAAGTTTCTGAGTGTCTCGCTGTCCGTCCTTCACCATCAGTCACCTAAGTGATATGAGTTAGCGGCCATTTCAAAGGTCATCTAGAATGCTGTTATAGAAACCAATGTAGCCAAACTCCAGAGGGAAGCTGGCATTAAACTTTTTGAATGTGGCCTGTTGCTCCACAGTAGGTGTGCTCTGGAAAGGGCTTAGCATTTGGCTGTACAGAGGCATGATTCAAGCACACCGCATGAGCTTGCTATTTATAGATCTCGTCATGTAAATTATGTGGCAAAGCAAAAACTACCTATGTAATACCCGTAATTACCCACCAATTTATCTGGCTTATGGTTTCAAATTTGTGCATGTCACTTTTTCTCAAACATGCCTCAAGTGTGTTTATACATTCCTAAATTTGCTGTCATGGCTTAGGTGCTCTTAATCAGTAGTGATAGGCTATGCATTAGGTAGGGGTGGGGGGGGAGAAAATGACATGAACCCCAGGAAATTGAATGCAAAATAGTGTGCCTAAATGAATAATCCTTGGCACAGCATTTGTGGTGTTCTCCAAGGGGTCCATGCTCCCACAGGCTAACTTCTGGTGTGGAGGAATGTGTAATAAGGAGGAGACAGGATGGCGATAAAGGGGGGCAGAGGAAGGCTCGCGGGCATTGACAAGAATCCTACAGAGGAGACCTTGGTGAGAAAGTGTGAGCAAGACATTAGTGATCATCCCACCTCACTCCTCTGGAGTGGCCCATTGGTCCAAATACCAAGTGGGACAAGCACTGGCACTGACCTTTCTCAAGAAACACTTCAAAAATACCTTTTTAATAACACTTTTTTTTCTCTGATTGTTAAGAGTGGCAAATTTGAGAAGTCCAAACAAAAATAAAGAAGAGAAGAAAATTGCCCATTGGTCATGATCCACAGGCAACTACTGATAATCTTTGACTTATGTCTCTTTTCCATCTATTTTCTATTTGTACAATTGAGGGAACAATGGCGAGCGTCACCTGAATGCTGGCTACATGCCAGGCACCCCTTGACTCTTCACAATCACCTTCTGAGGACGATGGTGCTGGTATTTCCCATTTTATGGGTAGGAAAGTGGAGCTCAAAAAGGTTAGGTGACTTATGCAAGAGCACAGAGTTAGTTGAGTGACACTGTGAGGACAGGGACCCAGGTGGCGTTGTGCTGGAGTGTGAGTTCTCAACCACAGCACAGCTGACCCTCCTGCTTCTGTCATTGTTTTACACACCCTGTTTCACCCAACACCCTAACCAAGTATTTTATGTGTCATCAGAAGTTATGTACAACAGTTAGTTTGGTCTTCCTAAGAAATATTTGAAATGAACTCAGCCACATTATCGTATGAAATAAAGACCAATTTTTGTCCAGCTTCTTTGCTTTTGGTTTTACTGCCCTTTCCCCAAAAGTATATTTATGGAAGTAATTGAATGGAATATCATGGAATCATCTGGAAAATTGGGCCACCCAAACCCTTTAGTACAGGGGGTTCCTTAGAAGAGCAATGACACTGATTTAATGCCCTGAGCACATCAAATGTTTCCAGAAGTACCTTTCCTTGCAAATTCTTTGGGATGCTAAATCATGGAATATCAGAATTAGAAACACTAAAGACCGTCTATTCCAGGTATTTTTAAATTATATATCATTTTTACAGTGTAAATTTATTTTATGGTAGAGAATTCCAACATACACAAAACTAGAAGAAGTAGTATGAAGAAACATCATGTACCTAATCACCTGGCCTCATCAATTATCAATTCATAGACCATCATGCTTCATCTATTACCCCTCTCCACATGCAGTGGGTCATTTTAAAGCAAATTCCAGGCATCAGATTATTTCATCCAAAACTATTTCAGGTCACATCTCTAAGAGGTAAGGGATCATTTTGTAAACAGGGGTACAATCCCAGTATTACATATTCCAGGTGTTTAAATCAAGGGTTAGTACCGTATTTTTAGGACTATAAGACACACCAGACCATAAGACACACCTGCATTTTAGAGGAATAAAACAAGAAAAAAATTTTTGAAGCAAAAAATGTGGTAACATATATAATAACCTATGATCCCACTCCACTGCTGCCCCTCCCCCCAACAGTGAGCCAGGTAAGCTACATATGAACTATAAGATGTACCCCATTTGCTTCCAGATTTAGGGGTGTGTATTATATTCCAAAATGCAGTATATCTTTTGGGGGTTCATGAATGGCCTTTGGAAGATCCATGAACAACCAAAACATTCCAAATTGTGCAGGTACCTGCCTATGTGCATCATCCAGGGATGGAACATTAGCTTACATCAGATCAATAAAGTGTCTCCAGCCTTCAAAGTTTATTTAAATATTCCCCATTATTCTCTTTCTTGCATAAATCCAGGCCCAGAGGGAGGCGGTGGCTTGCCTAGGATTACACAACTGGTTTCTGGCAATACCCTGCCTAAGAACCCTGTCTTGAACTTTGGATACCCCAGTACAATTTCCTCAGAGCAAATTCCTGTAAACACAAGTGGTAATGTAGTTTATATGATTTTCCTTGTCATAAAATCAGTTGAGTTGAAAGAGCTTGAAAGCTATTGATGAGCCTCAGCCCTCTGTCTTCCCACTGACTATTCCAGAAAAACCACAACATAATTTATTTTCTAAGGGCTTCATGGAGAATATTGAACACTAAGAAAAAAGTCACCTTTCAGCATCCTTTAATTCAATAAATGTCTTTTCTCCTAGTGACTTATTGACAACATAGAAATCTCACTAGTGTCTAATATGAAGTTTCGCTATGGATACGTTTCACCAATACTTATATGACCCAAGGTCACTGTATGGTAATATGAAGGGATTATAGGTTTTGAGGTCAAATAGACAAGAATTCAAATCTCTGCTCATCAATAGGCACCTTTGTGACCATGGGCAAGTTGCCTAACCTCTCTGAGCCTCATCAGCTCCACAATCTCTAGAATGGGGATGCTAATGCTAAATTGGTATGATTTTTTTTCGAAGCCTGAACATATGCAAAGCAGCTAATTGTGTTATCAGCATGTGTAAATTTAAAACACTGTTTATGTTCTCATCCTGCTTCCAATTAAATGACTTCTGTCACTAGCCAACCCCAAATGTCATCATTGGAAGAATTTCAGTAATCAAAACTGGTATTTCAATAATACAACTGAGTTTACTTCCCTTTAGAATTTTAGTTATGCTGTTGATTGCAGTGAGATTTCACCTTAGCTATTTTGCATGCTGAAGAAGCTAAGCCATAGACTCACCAATATGTGACTTCGATATTGAAAGGGTGATAGAAGTCATCCAATGTCCATTAGAACCATGGACAAGGTGCCCCCTCATTCTAGGATGGTCTTCTCTGAACCTGGACCACTGTTCAAGCTAGGGAAAAGAAATCCTAACCATGAAGGCATCCCCTGTACCTCCTGGAAAGATTTCTGTGACACCAAACTATTTGCCTATTTTGTGTCCAGTGGTATATATAAAGAAATTTAGCCCTGGCTGGTATAGCTCAGTGGATTGAGCATGGGCCTGCAAACCAGACAATCGCGGTTTGATTCCCAGTCAGGGCACATGCCTGGGTTGCATGCTAGTTCCCAGCTGGGGACACACGAGAGGCAACCATACATTGATATTTCTCTCCCTCTCTCCTTCCTTCCCCCTCTAAAGATAAATGAATAAAATCTTTTTAAAAATGTACAC